CTCCAGAAGGGAAGCCTTTGATCCCCAGGTCAAAAGAGAGGCCTCTGGTCAGATTTCTAGTGATTCAATGACCTCTATCTCTATGTGGGATTATAGTGAAAATAATAATTTTCCATAAAACAACCTCATAAGTAGTTATAGGAATACCATCTCTCTCTTTTTTCATAGTCTTCAGAAATCCATGTCTAAAAACAAAAAGTCAATGTTTATGGTTCCACCGAGTGTCTGGGTCTTCACATGACAAGATCAATGCACACCTGTCTATAATGGAGTTGTAAACACTCAAAACAGCTCTGTACTGTTTCACAAAATAGACTCTCATACAAGTTCACCCTGAAGATTATTTTCACTTTAGCCTGTTGATTCTAAAGACTTTTTTTTTTTTTGGCTTCTTGATGTGATTTTTCTTTTATCCTTTCACCACACAGCAAGACAAAGCCTTGGAAAGACACCCTTTAGATAGAGTTACACAATTTTTGCAAATGGAAACACCAATGCCAAAGAACTGGAACTGTTTAGTGCAGAGGGATGAACAGCAAATGCTGTGCTGAACAAAAGAACGTAAGCAGCATTCAAAGGTTAGGCTGCAGTGACACATTGCACATGACTGTGGTCCACTTCACTTGGCACCCAGAGGAGAAACACTCCCTTCCCCTGCCAAACGAACCTGGGTGGTCACAGTCTGGTTACTTTTCTACCAGCCAAATTATTCTTTTAGGTTCTTGTCCTTTTCTGAGTGCTATGTGCTGTGACCTTCATTTTTTCACCCCAGTTCAGAATAAGCATGAAATGAACATGGTGGGCAGGCTACATCTTGTATGGCTAACACTCTTCAGCCAGAAAAAGGGAATACTTTGTAATTGTCTTTTGTGTGTTAGTCACTCAGTCGTGTCTGATTCCTAGAGACCCTATGGGCTGTAGCCCACCAGGTTCCTCTGTCTATGGGGATTCTCAGGAATACTGGAGTGGGTTGCCATGCCCTCCTTCAGGGGATCTTCCTGACCTAGGGATCGAACCTAGGTCTCCTGCACTGCAGGCAGATTCTTTACCCACTGAGTCACCAGGGAAGCCTCTGTAATTGCCTTAATACTTATCTAGCATGACCAGAAAAAGAAATGAAAGCCATATATTTGAAAAAAAAAGGATAATAAAAATTGGATGGGGCTTGGGGATCTTCCCGAATTCAAAAAAGGTATTTTTATCCTTTTATCCCTTACTTCTCTTGGAGATTGAGTGTCCACAGAATCCAATGGCATTGCTCCAGAAAACTAAAATTGTGAATGAAGAAAAAAGGAAAAACAGTCATGGGAAACTATGGTAAGCTTTCTCCTCTTTCTCTCCATGGAGGTCATTTTGTTGTTCAGTCATCAGTTGCACTCTTTGCGATCCCATGGACTGTAGCACGGCAGGCTTCCCTGTTTCTCACTATCTCTCAGAGCTTGCTCAAACTCATGGCCATTGAGTCAGTGATGCCATCCAACCATCTCAGCTTCTGTGGCTCCCTTCTCCTCCTGTCCTCAATCTTTCCCAGCATCAGGGTCTTTTCCAAAGAGCTAACTCTTTGCATCAGGTGGCCAAAGTATTGGAGCTTCAGCTTCCGCATCAGTTCTTCCAGTGAATATTCAGGAGTCATTTGCTTTAGGATTGACTGACTTGATCTCCTTGCGGTCCAAGGGACTCTCAAGAATCAGCAGCACAGTTCAAAAGCACCACAGTTCTTCAGCGCTCAGCCTTCCTTATGATCAGGAACTCCCACATCCACACATGACTACATGACTAGATGGACTTTTGTCAGCAAACTGATGTCTCTGCTTTTGAATATGCTGAGTTGGTGAGCTCCTCAGATCCGCATCAGGAGACCTGCTGGCCTTTTCTGAGCTCTTCCTAAGGTTGCTCCCGTCCTGGTACCAACTGGCTGTGCTTCTGCTATGGGAGCTCCCAGATTATTTGCGATAAGGAGACATTTTTGTTAATTTGCTGGTTTACATATCAAAGAATAGGGAATGGAGGCAGCTGTGTTGATACTGCAGATAAGATCAATGCAGCATCAGTGGGCCAGATAGAGGTTTTCATTATTATCTTGTTGTAAATGACTTACAACGCAGAAAGTATCCAGCTGCGGGGTTCAAAGAGCAGTTCACACCCCAGTCTCCAAGGTCCTATATCTGAACGTTTATATTTCTCGTATTTCTGAAACAAGATCCATTTATTTCAAACTGAAATTGTGTCTCCAGTAACGCACAGTAGTAATGAGGTCATTTACATGTGTACAGTTGGGAGAAAGGTTATTTCCTAATTAGAGTTATCTGTTCTATTTATTCAACACTCCTATTGTGGAACATATGTTCTTGGATTATAGCATTTATATTCAAATAAACATTCTAATATTCTAAATATTCTGGTTCTAATGAAAACCCTGTACTTTCAGTGTACAGAATAGTAGAATAAATCTGACTGGTTTCAAGTTGGATTTCTGCGATTGTCTAGAAGGGTATGTGTGCATGTGAGTTTGTGTATGTGTGTGTGTGTGTGTGTGTGTGTGTGTGTGTATGTGTATGTGCTAAGTTGTCTCAGTCACATCCAACTCTTTGCAACCCATGGACGGTATCCCACCAGGCTCCTCTGTCCATGGGATTCTCCAGGCAAGAACACTGGAGTGGGATGCCATGCCCTCCTCCAGGGGATCTTCCCAACCCACGGATCATACCAGGGTCTCTTATGTCTCCTGCATTGGCAGGCAGGTTCTTTATACCCATATAAACTTATTGATAAACAAATATGAGAGATGAAAGAGACAAAATCATCCACAAAAGACTCTCGACCTTGAATTCTATCAGCAGATATGCCTGGAATGTTGCAATAAATCAACAAGTTTCTTAACAAATTTTATATTTATTCATCAGGAATAGAGCAAAGGACTCTATAACTTTTTTGTGTTGGTTTTTAAGGGACAGATCTGGTAATGAGACCAAATAGCAAGTTGTGGAAAGATTATAATACACAGAAAAGAAAAAAAGACACAAAAACAGATGTGTTATAAGGTAATAGAATGAATGGCAGATTCTCCCCTTCCTTTTTCAAATATCATATTTCTTTCTTTTTTTTTTTTTAGATTTCTACAAGTGGAACTAGAATTCATTTATATTCAAGTAGGTCCAGCTGCCTTTAATGGGGGAGTTAAGTAGCGGGATATGAGTCAAGCTAAACTAACCCACCCTGAATCTGGCTGCTATTTCTCTCTAATTTTTCCTGAACTTCCCTTTCTTGGCAGTCTGAACGCTCTAATATCTTGTCTTCTGGCTGCAAGAGCAGAACATATGGTTTGCTTGAAGATTCTTGTTAAACGTTTGTCCATTAACCTGACAGTAGGAAGTGCTAAAGAGGAGAAGCAGGAGTCAAGTCAGACACTCACCTCAAGTCCAAAGCAAACACACTCGCCCCTAAAAAACACACTTGATCTTCAACATCAGGAAAATCAAACACAAAGGAAACTACTGACATTTCACCCCCTGTGATTTTAGGACATTCTCTGATTAGGCTGTTTCATCACTAGTTCTGTTATTCAGATATGCTTTCTTTTCCTCGGAGAAAACAGATTTGAGCAAACACACAGAAGCTTAAAGCAAGGATTTAGGGTCTGGGTAAGATCTAGGAATAGTATTTTGTTTCTGTTATAAATCCCAAACACTTCGCCTGCCTTTCTGTTACTTATAGGTAATTGGAAAATCTCTGCCCTGCCCCCTCCCAACCCCCACAGTGATCTGGAAGAAATTTCTTATCTATTTAAAATTTTTGAAATATAATTGTGCTATGTTGCTGGATAATTTCTACACAACAACACAACACAACACAATATAGTGGTAGAGAATCTGTTATTCGTGACAAATTATGACAACTACAGCTTATAGGGGGGACCCGAGATTCTCTATCAATTATGTTATCCATCCATCAACCACTCAGATTTTAATTTGGGCTCCTTCCTTTCCACTTTATCAAATTCCCATTCCCAGATGCCCTCTCTGATCCACTGAGTTTTGAAAAAGAGCCTTCATATGGCAGGGATGCTTAATCAGTGGAAGTGAAGTTCTTAACAATAATGCAGATAAACCTCCTTTTCCTTTTCACAAACTGATAGATAATTATTTTTAAAGAAAAGATGACAGTCAACTCATCATTTCTACCAAAATTGCTTATTCGTACTGCAGATTACACAGCCCAGTCTGCAAACGACATCTCCTTCCCTCTGGAACTTGGGTCTAACCTATCTCCTCTTTCATTTATTAGGAGTGGTTGACTTATTAACCACTTACCAAGGCAGGTACCATTTCCATTCATTTATTCATTCATCCATGCATCCATCCATTCAAGACATTTGTTGAGTGTACCTCCCAATAAGTGAGCAACAGGACTTATATTACTATTTTTAAACCTAACACACCCATGAAGTCATATTCCTAGTTTACAAATGGCAAACTGCGACCCAAATAAATTTGTTAACTTGCTAGACCAAGTCTGTACAATGCCGAAGCTTATACCCATTCTCCTCCTTTATACAGGACAAAAGAAGGCAACAGATGAATAACTGCAAGTTTTTACATTTGGGCTAACATAACCCTCCACTGGCTTAAAATAGAAAGCTGCCATCTCTTCCAGGTTGGGCCAGTTCAGTAGAAGTGAGTACATCTGTTCACTTGTCAAATTTTTTGGGGAAAAAAAAAACACCTGAAGTTATACAAATATTTGCTATTCCATTAACTTATGTCATCTGGCCACTAATGAACACAAAATGAATTTTTGCTTTTGGGGCTATCTGTCTTGCCATTAGCTAAAAACATCATGACAGATTTCATCCATACCATAAACAAACCTGAGCTAAAGTCCAGAAAATGTGGAGTGAGTGCTAAATCTCAGTGGAAGCCTAGTTTTTACAACTGTCTCCCTCTTCGCATCAGGCCTCTTCTCTGTGTGGTTTCCATTTCGAAATCATGAAATGAACGTACCGTTCTGACCTCCAGCCATCTGTTGGCAGCTGAGAGGAATAAGTAGGCAATGTTGTTAGTGTCTGTCAGTTCTAGCATTCGTTGCTTAAATCTGGCCTCATGCCTGCAGAAAACAAAAATATTATGATGCTAGCCACACAACAGGAGAAATAATAAAAAACAGTCACACTTCCTACTACATTATTTACTCCACACGGTGACGAACTGGTGGGATGGAATGACTAGTAAACGGACTACTTACAAATAAAGGCCAGCTGCTACTGCTCTCTCGCACCCTTCCTGAGAGATGGCATGGAGCAGTAGTTCCTTCCTTTCTCAACCTCTGCTGCAGAAAGGAATGTTTCCGACGACAAAGTCCTACTAAAGATCATTTCATAAATTTCTACGTAAGGATAGTAACCGTGAAAACAAGGCACGGCCAGTGTCTCAAGGGCCCTACACAACCCAGAAGAAGTTGTACAGAAATGCAATACATATGACCTAGATTTTACTGCATGTATCTTACTTTTCCACAAGGCATGGGCGGAGTTGGGTAGAAGGAACTAGAAGAGACTCACGAAAGACAGGAAACTATGGGTTTGTAACAGGCAAATATATATACCTTAAAAATGTTCTTTTCGCTCAGTTTCTGGCAATCAAAGGACAATGAGGTGGCAAGAGGTAGAGGATGAGGGTCCTTGGGAATGGCAGATGTCCTTGTTAAGCAAGGTATCTTACGTCTCAAAGTTACAAATTATTTTTAAGAATGGTCATTGCATGAAAGAAGCCCTTGGTGTGTAGTATTTATGGGGATCTGAGTCGGACACGACTGAGCAACTTCACTTTCACTTGTCACTTTCATGCATTGGAGAAGGAAATGGCAACCCACTCCAGTGTTCTTGTCTGGAGAATCCCAGGGATGGGGATGCCTGGTGGGCTGCCGTCTATGGGGTCGCACAGTTGGACACGATTGAAGCGACGCAGCAGCAGCAGCAGCAGGACACATACACATGTTCCCTGGTGACTTCAATGGTAAAGAATCTGCCTGTGATGCAGAAGACTCCTAGTTCAATCCCTGGAACTATGAGAAGATCCCCTGGAAAAGGAAACAGCAACCCACTCCAGTATTCATGCCTGGGAACTCCTATGGACAGAGGAGCCTGGCGGGCTACAGTCCATGGGGTTGCAAAGAGTCGGACATGACTTAGCAATTAAACAACAACATGACACATACAGTTTAGATAGATACTGATGCTGGGTCAAATTAAGTTCATTCTTGGTGATCAACATAATCAGACCAAATTCTGTGTAACCTTTGTTACAAAGGAAACTTCTAATAAAAACCTCATCCAGGAATTTCCTTGGTGGTCCAGTGGTTAAGAATCTGCCTGGGAGTGCAGGGGATGCTGGTTCAATCCCTAGGCTGTGAACTAAGATTCTTCATGCTGCACAGTAACTAAGCCCAAATGTTGCAACTAAAACCTGATGCAGAAAAATAAATAAATATTGTTTAAAAAGAAACTTCATCCATTTGAACATGGGAGCTACTTCTCACAGAAACTCATGTTCCATGTTGATAAATCTTTTCTACATCACAAAAATAGTCTCTCTTTATTTTTCAATTATTTTCCCTGGGTAACAGAAACAATGGAAAGCTGGATCATATAAACAAAATAACTGATTGGAAGGTTGGAGGAAGTGCCAAATTCAACTTTCTGTGGCTTCGGCTTATCTTACAGAGACCTCCTGTCTATGTGTTATGTTTGCAGAGAATAACCAAATTTCATCTGACAGCCTGATGGTGATTCCTCGTTGATAAAAGACTGCTCCAAGTAACCCCCCCCCCATCACCCCAAATCTTACAATCAATTTGCAAAAGTTTACAGTAAACTATCACTATGTCAAAAATGAAGAAGTCCGGGGTAGGGTGTTCACTTGGCCCGTGTAGCCATCCATACAGGCCAATATAAAGCAGATAGTTGGGATTTATCCAGTCAATCTGATCACTCCAACATGCCAAACCAGAAAAATCAGATAATTGAGTCAGACAGCAACATCTGATCTACGATAATCAAAGGATTTGACAATCAGAGCCAAATAATTACCTCACTTTGAGTTATGTAGCCTTGACCCAAATGCCATGCACAGGAGGACCTGCGCTGAATAGCAATACACTGGGCGGGACGAATCAGACAGAGAAACAGGACTAGCCTCATCATGACCCTCATACAGATGTGCGCTTAGTCACCCAGTCATGTCCGACCCCATGGACCGTAGCCCACCAGGCTCCTCTGTCTATGGGGATTCTCCAGGCAAGAATACTGAAGTGGTTGCCATGCCCTCCTCCAGGGACCTTCTCAACCCAGGGATCGAACCCAGGTCTCCCGCATTGCAGGCCAATTCTTTCCTAGCTGAGCCACCAGGGACAGAATAAATAATTAACATAGGATGACTCACAGTTATAGGATTTACTGAGATAGTGGATCTCAACTGCGAACAGATATATCCAATTCTGCATTTGCATTATTGGGTGGATTTTCACCCACTCATTCAGGAACATTTAGCAAGCATGAACTCAAAGCGAGACATCACAGCATATATGTATGAACAAGACACAACCTCTGCCCTAGAGAAGCACATTGTCCAGTGAAAGAGGTAAGCCTGGTATTGTTGTAGTATGAGCAAATAAAGATGGCTCAACACAGAAGCCAATCATAAAGGCCCTATGTGAATATAAAGGAAGGCGAAGGTTTGCACTGGCTAAAAGACCAGAATGGCAGGGAATAGGGTGGAGGGTGGGGAGAGATGGATAAACCATCTCTGGGATGGACTGGGAAGATGGACTGAATGAGGTTTTAAGAAATGGGCTGAATTTTTTAGGGCTTCCCTGGTGGCTCAGATGGTAAAGCGTCTGCCTGCAATGCGGGAGACCTGGGTTCGATCCCTGGGTTGGGAAGATCCCCTGGAGAAGGAAACGGCAACCCACTCCAGTACTCTTGCCTGAAAAACTCCATGGATGGATGAGCCTGGTAGGCTACAGTTCATGGGATCACAAAGAGTCGGGCACGACTGAGCAACTTCACTGGTTCACAGAATATTTCAGGTGGACAAGGAGGGACAAAAGCATTGGAAGTATCGGCAACAACATGAACTAAGGAACAGAAATGAGAAAACAAGGTCAGGAACTGGAGTCAGGGTCCCCCTTCCTAGAGGGCTGTGATGATGGAGAGATGTGGGGAGGGGGAAACTTGGACCAAAGCCTGTGGACTCCAGTTAAGACGAACATCCAACACTTCATTGCGACAAAGTGTTTTGTCTGGGACTCTTCTTCCTCTCCCTCTAGTTTGGGGATATTGTTGCAGATACACTCTTAAAGAGTTTGTAAATGGAGCTGGCAACAGTCTGAAGCAGCAGTGAAAGGGGAGGGGTGGAAATGCAGCGAACATTCTTTCTGTGTGTTTCTATTTGGCAAGAACCCTTCTGTTTTCCTAATGGAAACTTTGACACACTCAGTCTGTATCTTTTCATCCACATCCAGCTCATCTTCTGAACATTCTTAGACCTTTATTCTGTCAGGCCAAAAAAAAAGTAGGAAAGGTCACTGAAATCTCAGTCTAATTTAACTGTGATCCTCTGGTGGTAAACTACTTGAGGTTAGTTCATGCTGCCTCTGAGTACACCGTGAACCCTGAACGCAGGGGAGGAAAGCAGCCTAATCAGTAAATACAAACTTTCCAGAGAGCTGACGACTCTGGGGATTCTTACTAGCCTGAAAGAGAGGAAGAAGCAGATGGAAAAGAATGTGTTTGATTCTAAACTGTTGTTCACTTGCTAAGTCGTGTCTGCCCCTTTGAGACCCANTGGGTTTCCTTCATCCTTCTTTCTGAAAAAATAAGCACAGGTGAACATACATATTCCTATTTCTCCTCCTCAAATATACAGAGATATCATTCTTTAACACTTTTCACTTAATACATGTGTCCAGAATATTATAATGGTCTTTCTCATTCTTACTGGGAATGGGCTTCTGCTTATTATGTTAGTCAACCGTTCAGTTCGGTTCAGTTTGGTTGCTCAGTAGAGTCTGACTCTTGGCGACTCCATGAACCACAGCATACCAGGCCTCCCTGTCCATCACCAACTCCCGGAGTTCACCCAAACCTGTGTCCATTGAGTTGGTGATGCCATCCAACCATCTCATCCTCTGTCATCCCCTTCTCCTCCTGCCGCCAATCTTTCCCAGCGTCAGGGTCTTTTATGTCTTAATACCTACATTCAAAGTCAATCAATGATTCTTCCACCTCTGATAAAAGGTATTGCACACTTTGATGGGAAAACACATCTCTGTGAAAACTATAAATGCTCCACTATGAAATCTAGGTAGATTTATGCAGAAATTCTGTGGTACATGTTGTAGATAGTGGCTGTATCTTTATATTCTACTTTTGACTCTATTATATACACACTTTTATGTGATTCAAATATTTCTTAGGTTAGAAAACTCTCTGATTGAAATTGTTTGCATTTAGTGCTGCAGAAAGATATAACATTTTAACAAGTTTATTTTCTAGATTAAATATAACATTCAAGGATGCCACCTCCTTTTCTGATTTTACCTGAATAGGGAAAATAGAGCCAGGTAATTTTCTGAGTATTAGGTAAACTCTCTTGATGAAAATCTTGGGATATTACTTCAATGTTTACCAACATTGAAGAAAAACTATTTAAAGCCTGAAGTAACTTTGGTGTAATAATATTTCTTTTATTATTATTATTAATGCATGTATTTTAGCTTCTATGTTACTTCTTTGTTAATCACTGTGGTTAATGCTTTAGGTGTGTGTGCTCAGTTGCATCCAACTCTTTGTGACCTCACAGACTATAGCCTGCCAGGCTCCTCTGTCCATGGGATTGTCCAAAAAGGACACTGGAGTGAGTAGCCACTGCCTCCTCCAGGGAATCTTCCCAATCCAGGGATTGAACCACCGTCTCCTGCACTGCAGGCAGATTTTTTTTTACCACTGAGCCACTGGGGAAGCCAATGCATTACATGAAAAGTGAAAGTCACTCAGTCCTGTCCGACTGTTTGCAACCCCATGGACTATATATAGCCCACTAGGCTCCTCTGTCCATGGGATTCTCCAGGCAAG